ATTGTTCGTGTAATTACGTTTAAAAGGGCTTTAGGAATCACTTTAACACCATTTCATATAGGTAGTAAGTTCCTTTCTTTTTTTCTAAAGTAATTATAGTAATTTTTATGAAAAAAACAACTTTCGGACTTAAGCCCTCCCCCCCCCAAAATAAATCCTGGATCCGCTAGTGGAAGATAACGTAAATAATTCATAACAATGAAAACCTTTAGGTGCAAATATCTCCTAAACAAAGCGTTTGCGGACATACCTTCAGAGGAAATTTTTTTCTTGTTTTGAGGTCCTTAGTAGTATTGCTATACCTAGCATAGGCGTATCTACGGCGGGGGGGGGGGGGGGAGGAGGGAAGAAGTTAAAGAAGTTTCGGAGTTAAATCCCTTCCCCTCCCCTCACCAAAATGGTAACATAACTGTTTCTTAAGAAAAAAAAATTAAAACTTTATCTCTAAAAGTATTATTGTTCGTTTATTTACATTTAATAGGATTTCAAGAATCACGTAAACACCATTCCATACAGATATATATATATATATATATATATATATATATATATATATATTAAGCTTTCGAGCTGAAGCCCAATTAGAATTAAATCCTGGATCCGTTAGTGATACCTAGTATTCTAAGTATTTCATATATATATATATATATATATGAAAAAAAAACTTTCGGGCTGAAACTCCCTCCCCCAAAAAAAAAAAATAAAAAAAATTAAATCCTGGATCCTCTAGTGATATAAAGTTTCGACACTTCATATCACTACATATATAACAGAAAGGGGGTATGTTTAATGTACCATCGAATTGGGGGGGGGGAGGGAGAAGGAGGGAAGAGGGATGGGCATCCCTGAGAAGTTTGATAAAGAAATAAACAGTACACCGTTTTCCTCTGTCTTCTTTTTCTTTAAAATTTTATTATTTGAATTGAGTTGACGAGGGTTTTTTTTAATGAATTTTTCCTGCTCCATGGGCCATAAATCCCTGCCGCTCTTCAAGAATGGTTGTCTTCAAGAACATCCATCATTGTGAACATTCATCATTTTATTATGTCTCTCTTTTCTCATCGTGGTATTATACTCGTTCATTACAAATGGCTCATACTTGTTCACAATTCATAAGTCTGTGATTTTTATGTGTATTTCAATCCGTAATAAACTATAAGTTAATCATCTTACCGGAAAAATCAAGGTATAGTTTTTTGACATATTTTATAAATTGTATGAGTTAGGATAATCATAATACGATGATGTTTGAATGACATAATGACAAAATTCAACAGCTCGGAAAATGCGACCTAGACAAACACCCTTGGTGTAAATGATGTGCTCTGGAGTGAGGAAGCAATTACGTTTGAGAACGCTAATTTTCAAGGTTAAGTAACACCAAGACTTATTATTTAGTTCAGAAACTGTAACGCCCCTACCTATACTCCTGTGCAAACGAATTCTCAATTACTTGAACTTAAATATCAGAGAAAAGAATGAGGTCTTGTTGTTCATTTTATTCTATTTATTTAAAATTCAGATGAGTAAGCCCAGTGTTATTTGAGGGTCTACTGATAAATATTCATAACTACAACCATATTATATCTACCGTAGTCGGTCTCCGAAGGACAAAGTAAGGGAAACTTCATTCGATGCTCCCCATCTTCTAGACTTTTAATTTAAAAATCTGTAGACTTAGAATACTAGGTATCACTAACGGATCCAGGATTTAATTCTAATTGGGCTTCAGCTCGAAAGCTTTATATATATATATATATATAACGATAATTAATTTGAAAAAAAGAAAGAAATTAATTACCTACATTAAACGGTGTTAAAGTGGTTCTTGAAGTCCTATTAAATTAATTACTCGAACAAGAATACTTTAAGAGATATGTTTTAATATTTTTTTCTATAAAATAAGGTTATATTTTACGATTTGGAGGAGAGAGGAGAGTTCAGCCCAAAAGCCCCCCGTAGATCCGCCTGTGCTTCATATACATAACTAATTTTAAAAATGTTGTCATCTACTTTTATTAAAATCATCGAAAATGAGAGACAATATGAATTCACTCTTTTTGTTTGATACATCTAAATTTACATTTATTTCGCCGTGTTTGAGGAAATTGTGTGTCTGCACGACTTCTAGATACCTGATTAAGCTTAGGTAGGGAGGGGGGAGGGGAGAGAAGATGGGCAAGGACACATCTCAAAATAGATTAATATATTCTTTTTATTGGTCCAGATTTCTTTTTTTGGATTGATTTGAGTTAAAATCTTAAACAGCCACAGTGTGATCTCCTTTTACATTATAACTAAATATACAACAGTTAAATGTGAAAATGTTTATAATTACACAAGTTCGTATACATACAGAACCTGGATTAAATAAAAAGCAAAACGTTTCTAATATAGCGTACTAATATGCCTCTGTAAAGATATTCAGAGATAATAGATTTGTAAATTTAAAATTAAAAATAAGTAAAGTTATGAAATATTTAATGTTGATCTGTCGTATTGGCAACACTGATACTCAGTAGTTTTTGTGGAACACAGTGCTTTTGTTATGTTCGTTTTTTAAGTGCTTTATTTAATATTAAAGAGGGTTTAAAATATAAAACAAATTAGCTTGTAAGGTTAATAGTCATTAAGAATGTTTTGTTTTGGTTTAGACTTTTTTATTTATTCGTATTATAGATGAAGTGTCACTTCGTAGTATTATTAATAGTCCGTGGTACAGACCCATTTTTATCAAATTATTAACATCCAGTAGAAACTTCATAAATAGCTTAATCTCATCGTAACCTACAAATATTTTATTTACAAAAATTCTCGGAATTGGGACCTTTTCAATCTGGAGATCGGTAAATCTCGTCTATTTAATTATGTACCAAAAATTAATAAATACTCATTTGCCTTCTACTTGGATCGTAAGATAATTTGATCACAATTCAAAAAAAAAAGGGGGCCTTCAAAAATATTGAGCCGTTTGTCCTATATGTTCTCGTTGTTTTGACAATTTGGTGATGTAGGTCACGCCAAATGGCTCAATATTTTTGAAGTCCACCTTTTTTATCGATTTTGTGATCAAACTATCTTTCGATTAAAACGGAAACCAAATGTGTATTTACGTGTTTTTATTATCCGTACATATATTATTATAGTAAGGCTCGAAATCGGTTTTGCGCCAAATATAAGCTCCTGTCAGGCTCAAATACCATGAATGGGGTACCATTGGATTCAGAATTTCACGGGGGGTTAGCGAATCGTATTCTCAAGTTTTGCTTTTCTTTCTAAAATAAATAAAGTCGATACAAACATTTTGCTAGGTTTCAATAGTGGAACGGTGGTAGGTCTGTAGATCGATTACGGGACAATTTGGACCTTGAAGATTTCGATGCGTACAGCAAGAACCGGATAGTTCCTCTGGAACTATCGGATTCTTTGTCTTTAAGCCCAAAAACGTACTATTTTCGAGATAACCCAAAGCATAGGGTTCGCATCACTAGCGGATCCAGGATTTAATTTTGGGGGAGGCTTCAGGCCGAAACCTTTTTTTTCATAAAAATAACGATAATTACTTTGGAAAAACAGAAAGAAACTAACTACCTATATGAAATGGTGTTTAAGTTATTCCTTAAGTACTTTCAAATGTAATTACACGAACAATAATACTTTAAGAGGTAATTTAAAAAAAAAATTTCCCATAAAACATGGTTATATTTTTCCATTTTGGGGGGGGCTTCGGCCCAAAAGCCCTCCCCCCCCCCGTAGATCCGCCCGTGGTTCGCATCCACACAACCTTACGTTAATTGTAGTAGTGTCATTGAGTACATGTCTCATTTCGTCGACTTGAAGCCTCTATGATCGAGAGAGGAGGAGTTTATATTATTTATCGATGGTGTCTTTGATCGGCAAGCCATATCATCGTTAATTCTTCACCAAATCTCTAGATTGAGCCACCAATTTCGAAGGCTTCCTTCTCCTTCAGCCGGGCAAAATAGTCCAATCAACCCGAAAATTCAGCTAAACAAGTTATGAAAGAAAACAAACTTTATTTGCAAATAACTAAAAAAATACATACTTTTCCCTTGGTAATACTCATGATTATATAAAAGATTACTAAATTCCCTACAAAAGGAAAAAAAAATCATCGAAATCGGACAATTTTTAGCAGATACAGCTTATTGAAATTTGTAAACATGTTGGTTCCAAACATTAATGAAGATTTAAAATTATTTTTGTTTCCTTTGTCGTTTATATTTATCGATTAACTAACAATTGATTTTTTAATCTTTTGATAAGTTGCATTATTTCTTTTTTCTTAATAATTAGGCATTTGAAAACAATATGCTGTGCGAATTTTTCGCACGGGCTTACTAGTCTTCAAATATTTTATTTACGATAATTCTCAGAATTGGAGCATGTTCAACCTGGACGTCGGCAATCTTTGTCTATTTAATTAGGTACTAAAAAATGGAAAATATTTATTTGGTTTCCACTTTAATCGTAAGATAACTTGAGCACAAAGTCGATAAAAAAGGTAGCCTACAAAAATAGTGAGCCGTTTGGCCTATATGATCTCGTTATTTTGACGATTTGGGGACGTAGGTCACGCCAGATGGCTCAATATTTTTTAAGTCTACATTTTTTATCGAAATCATGCTCAAGTTACGATTAAAGTGGAAACCAAATGGGTATTTAAGAGTTTTTTGTTCCTAATTAAATAGATATAGTTTGGCGATCTCCAGATTGGAAAAGTCCCAATTACGAGAATTTTTGTAAATAAAATATTTGTAGGTTATGATGAGATTAAACCATTTACGAAGTTTCTGCCGGATGTTAATAATTCGATCAAAAGGGGTCTGTACCACGGATTATAAGTGTAATTGGAATAATTACTCGTTGAAGAAGGCAATAAACATAAACGTGTTAATGATTTTGGGTTACGCAATGGGCGGGGAGTGCTTTCCCTTCACTTTCGCTGGTAGGGGGCCCCCTGGCTGACCATAACCAGTGAGTACTCTTCAAGCCGGTCCAGGATCGAGTACACACCTTCGACGTCTCTTCAGAGTCTCTTGGCGCCCTTCTGCGTGAGTAAACTTATAACCATATACCAAGTGTTATGTTTGTTTATCCGTTGTGTCAATGTGTTTCAAGTTCTATTATTGTTTTACTTTCAATTTTATTACGATTTCACGCATAAATCTCGAGACGTTTAATGCAAATTTCATTTCGATGAAGTCTTAAGGCTGTGTTTAAACATTTCTCAAACTATGAGACAGAAAAATATATAAATGGTTATTTCACTATGCTAGTATTTTTATTTCTAGTTTTTGATATTTTTTATCTTCTGCCGGTATCAAGAGAAACAAAATATATAGTTTGGCTTTAGTAATAATATCGCTATTGTGTTTCTCTTAGTTTATGAAATGTCTAAAAACGCACCATTAGCTTTCAAAATCGATTAATTAAACTAATGCTAATATTGAATTAATTATTTTCTAAGCAAATCGTAATTTATTTATTCTTTAAATATTGGCTTTCGGGCTGAAGCCTCCTCTTCCCCCACAATGGTAAAATATAACAATGTTTTACAGAAACAATTATTAAAAAATATCTCTTAAAGTATTATTGTTCGTGTAATTATATTTAATAGGACATCAAGAACCTCTTCATTACATATAGGTATTTAATTTCTTTCTTTTTTTTTTCTAATTAATTATCGTTATATGTATATGAAAAATAAATCTTTCAGGCTGAAGTCTCCCCCCCAAAATTAAATTCTGGATCCGCTAGTGATTGATGTTTAACTGTCGTGAAAAATGAAGAGAAGTTGGTTGGGGTGTTCAGTCAAAAATAAAAAGAAATTTGTTAAGAAAATGTTATTTATTGATTTCTTTATAGTTATCATTCTGAATATAGACATAAGAGAATTTAGTTTGTGTGTTCAGTCAAAAAGAAAAAGGAAAAATTAATGAATGATATTTAGTTTTAGTTTTTATTTTTGACTGAACAAACAAAACAACTTCTCTTCTATTTATTCTTTTATTTATATTTTTATGATGAAAATTTAATAAATGTCTATATTCAGAATGATAACTATAAATCACGGGCGGATCTATGGGGGGGGGGGAGGAGCTTTCGGGCTGAAGTCCCTCCAAAATGGTAAAATATTACCATGTTTTATGGAAAAAAATATTCAAAAATTATCTCTTAAAGTGTTATTTTCCGTGTAATTACATTTAAAGGAACTTAAAGAATCACTTAAACACCATTTCATAAATATAGGCAGTTTATTTCTTTTTTTCCAAAGTAAATATGGTCATTTTTATGAAATAAAAAGCTTGCGGGCTGAAGCCCACCCCCAAAATGAAATCCTGGATCCGCTAGTGGCTGCCGGTATCAAGAGAAATAAAATAAATAGTTTGCTTTAGCAATAATATCACTATTAATTAAGTTAGATAATTGTATTTCTCTCAGTTAGTGAAATGTCTAAAAAACGCATCATTACCTTCCAAAATCGATGAATTAAACTAAAGCTAAAATTGAATTAATTATTTTGTAAACAAATCTTAATTTATTTATTCTTTAAATAGAGGATTGATGGGCGATTGTAGTGAAAATTACAGTGAAGTTAGTTGGGCTGTTTAGTCAAAAATAAAAAAATTATATTTATTTTTACCGAGTGAAAATTGAAGAGAAGAAACAACAAAAATTAAAATAAATATCATTTATTAATTTTACTTTTTCTTTTTGACAGAACACACAAAATAACTTCTCTTCTATTTATTCTTATTTTTATAATGTAAATTTAATAAATGTCTATATTCGGAATGATAACTATAAAGCACGGGCGGATCTACGGGGAGATTTCGGGCGGAAGCCGCCCAAAATGGTAAAATATAACCATGTTCTATGGAAAAATATATTTAAAAAATTATCTCTTAAAGTATTATTGTTCGTGTAATTACATTTAAAATGACTTAAAGAATTAGTTAAACACCATTTCATATAGGTAGTTAGTTTCTTTCTTTTTTTCAAAAGTAATTATCGATATTTTTATGAAAACAAGAAAAGCTTTCGGGCTAAAGCCCCCCCCCAAAAAAATTAAATCCTCGATCCGCTACTGCTATATAGAAAATTTTCTTTAAAAATCATTGTAGTCTTGCTCGTAATTGCCTGGTGAACCAGTGTTGCCGGTCGCTCAAATTACATTTTTATAAATAAAATCTAAATTTGTTTAACAAGTATTTTAACCGTGTTAGTATTTGTATTTGTATGTTGTATTTAACTTTTGGTACAAAGTAAATGATATTTATTTTTATCGAGTAAAAATTGAAGAGAAGAAACAGCAAAAATTAATATAAATATCATTTATTAATTTTTACTTTTTATTTTTGACTGAACAGACAAACCAACTTCTCTTCTATTAATTCATTTATTTATATTTTTATTATGTAAATTTAATAAATGTCAATATTCAGAATGATAACTATAAACGAAATCTATTAATAATATTTTCTAAACAAATCATTGTAGTCTTGCTGGTAATAGCCTGGTGAACCAGTGTTGCCATTCGCACGAATTATGTTTTTATAAATAAAGTCTAAATTTGTTTAACAACTACTTTAACCGTGCTATTATTTATCAATAGCGTATCCAGGATTTAATTTGGGGGAAGGGCTTCAGCCGAAAGATTTATATATATATATATATATATAACGATAGTTAATTTGAAAAAAAAAAAGAGAAAGAAATGAACTATCTATATGAAATGGTGTTTAAGTGATTCTTAAAGCCCTATTAAATGCAATTACACGGACAATAATACTTTAAGAGATAGTTTCTAATATTTTTTTCTATAAAACATTGTTATATTTTACCGTTTTGAGGGAGCTTCAGCACGAAAGTCTCCCCTCCCCCGTAAATCTGCCTGTGTTATTTATATTTATATGTTATGTTTAACTTTTGGTGCTTTATAGACGAATGAATTCATTTTTTTATTTTATTTAGATTTTATAAACTGAAATTGCAATGTTTACATTGTTTTTTTAAAAATATATTATGGTGAAAAAACGTATTGTGAAAAGAAGAATTAAAGCTATAGCTTTTACTGATATTTTTATAAATATTAAGGTGTATTTAGACATTTCAAAAACTATGTGACAAAAAAAAAATTAAATAATTTTTATCTATGCTAGTATATTTGTTCCTTGTTTTTGATATTTTCCATTTGCTGTCAGTAACAAGAAAAATAAAAAAAATGAGCTTAGTGCTAATACACTATAATTTAAGTTAGATAATTGTGTTTTCCATAGTTTGTGAAATGTCTGAACGCACGTTAACTTGTTCACTACAGTGTTGTGGCTTGTCAGTAACAAATTTTTGCAAATCCTCGTGTCCATCACGGGCGGATCTACGGGGGGGGGGAGGGGGCTTTCGGGCTGAAACCCCCCTCCAAAATGGAAAAATATAACCATGTTTTATGGGGAAAAATTTAAAAAATACCTCTTAAAGTATTATTGTTCGTGTAATTATATTTAAAAGTACTTAAGGAATAACTTAAACAGCATTTCATATAGGTATTTAGTTTCTTTCTGTTTTTCCAAAGTAATTATCGTTATTTTTATGAAAAAAAAAAAAGGTTTCGGGCTGAAGACCTCCCCCAAAATTAAATCCTGGATCCGCTAGTGGTGTCCATGCTAGTTGAAAAGCCTACAACCATTTATATGCTCAATGTTATTGTATTTTTAGTAAAATTGGATCAAACCTTTGCTTATAGCAACAAGCCCCAGTCGTATATTATAGAACTTGTTTTAATTATGTTAATGAGTGAAGAAGTATAATGAGCTTAATGTAAGTTGCGGATCCAGATTATTTTTTTTTTTAATAACGGTAATTAGTTTGAAGTAAAAAGCGAAACTACCTATATGAAATGATGATTAAATAATACTGTGAGGAAAAAATACAAAAAAAAAGTTAATTACAGGAACATTAATTATTTTAATGATATCATTTACTTTCCTACCTATACTAGGTAAGGAAAGTATTGCAATCGGGTCAAATTTCCCAAACACATTTTTAGCCATTGGTCTGTCTGTCTGTCTGTGCCAAGATTTTCTCGGAAACTACTGAACCGATTTTGTTGCTTCTTTTTTTATTTTGTAGGGTTTTGACTACTGATGCCTGTGGTAGAAATTCGGTGCTCCATGCTCAATAGCTCGCGCGCAATAAATGAAAAACATGTTTTTCTAAAGACTATAGCACGAAAACGGCTCTAACGATTTTGATGAAACTTTCCTATAATGTTCTAATCATTGTTCTTTAAATTTTCGTATATAGACTAAATTCCCGAAAAAATTCAGGAAAAAAAGTTATAAAGAAAAGAAAAATGTTATGGGGCCTAACTCCCTAATTATATATTATACGGTAAAATGTATAATAAAACTTTTGAAAGGTAATTAAATTACCAAAAAAAAATCATCGGAATCGAACCAGTATTAGCGATGATACAGCTTATTCTATCTTTTACACATTTTTTAACTTACTACTTTCCTACCTATACTAGGTGTAGAAAGTATTGCAATCGGGTCAAATTTCCCAAACACATTTTTAGCCATTGGTCTGTCTGTCTGTCTGTGCCAAGATTTTCTCGGAAACTACTGAACCGATTTTGTTGCTTCTTTTTTTATTTTGTAGGGTTTTGACTACTGATGCCTGTGGTAGAAATTCGGTGCTCCATGCTCAATAGCTCGCGCGCAATAAATGAAAAACATGTTTTTCTAAAGACTATAGCACGAAAACGGCTCTAACGATTTTGATGAAACTTTCCTATAATGTTCTAATCATTGTTCTTTAAATTTTCGTATATAGACTAAATTCCCGAAAAAATTCAGGAAAAAAAGTTATAAAGAAAAGAAAAATGTTATGGGGCCTAACTCCCTAATTATATATTATACGGTAAAATGTATAATAAAACTTTTGAAAGGTAATTAAATTACCAAAAAAAAATCATCGGAATCGAACCAGTATTAGCGATGATACAGCTTATTCTATCTTTTACACATTTTTTAACTTACTACTTTCCTAC